GAGAGCAGATCAGTGACCTGGGGGTCGGGTCTCCGGGATGAGGGGCACCGAGTCCCTAAACCTTCCGGTCCCCTACCGAGGCTCCCGGCCGGGAAGGCAGCAGTGCACCTGTGCCGACGTCGCCTCCCGCCGGGCAGGGCGCGCGCGCCTCCGGCCGGGGATGCTGACTCAGCCCCGCTGCTCACATTCCTTCCGCGCAACGCGGATGCTGCTGCTGCAGCAAAGGGGGGACACGAGGCACCGGAGAGCGGGCCCCTCGCTCCCCGGGCCCACTGCGGCACTCCCTCCCCACTCCCGAAAGGGGAACCCGGGTGCGCGAGTTGACGAAATGGAGGGAAGTGGGCGCTTCAGGAGGAACTCGGGCGCCGCGCGCGCCGCTCACACCCAAACTGGAAGGAACCTGTTCTGCCGGGGCGGGGCGCGGAGCCGCCGCCGCGAGCGCCGCGCGGGACCAGCCCCGGCGCGCGCGTCTCCCCTCCTCGCTCACATCCCAGTCCTCAGGCCGCGGGCAGGGCTGGCCAGTGGCGGCGGCCGGGGGGCGCGGGAGGGGGCCGCGGTGCTCGGAGACAGGGTGCAGGCGGCCCGGACACCCCTGCACGCTCGCGCTCCCACTTGCACTGCAGCAAAGCGCCGGGGGTCTGATCGGGCCAGGCGCGCCCTGCTGGGGGCATGGGGTGCCGTGCCAAGGCCCCGGTGGCGCTGGCGGGGCCGGCCGCGGGATGGCGACACCGTTACCTTCCGTGACCCCGGCCCCGGCTGCGGGCGGCGGCGGGCGCGTGCCCGGGCGGCCGCGGTCCACGTGGGCCGGCGCGCGCGCGCCAGGCCGGCCCCCTCCTTGGCGGCGCTCGGCGCTCGCAGCACATGGTCGGCGGCGGCGCGCCCCCGAGGCCGGCGGAGACCGGCTGCAGCCGGTATAGGATAAGCGCTAGGCAGCGACGCGGGGCCGGGGCGCGGGCGGCAGCACGCACGGCCCCAGCACAGGCAGCCGGGCTGGGGGGCGGGGAGGGTGTGGCCCGGGTGCCCGAGGCGCGGGAGTGGGTGGAGGGCCCGGGAGCCCCGGCCTCAGCAGCCCGAGCCAACTTGCGCTGGACTCGGGCCCGCCCCTTAAGGGGTTAAACCTTTTCTCATGTTACCGAGCGGCTTATAAAGAGGGGGAGGCCAAGCCTCCGCCTTATTGGGAGCCTTTTGGGGTTTATTCTCTTCCCTTCTAACTTGGTGAGTTGGTTTTATTATTTTACATGTTTAAAAGTTTGATTGTGGGGTGTGGGTTGCTTTTTAAAAAAATGTGTTGGGGCCTTTTTGGAGATGGGAGGCGGAGGAGACCACTTAACATCTTAACATTTTGGAGAGGTTATTCCGAAAAATATTCTCTGACAGTTAGGAATGCTCGGGCCCCCAGGATGACGCGCGTTCGCCTGCCGGTGTGGGCGGCTGAGAGTTGAATGTCCGTGACCCTGGTACAGTTGGATCCCGGAAAATACCTGGAGGCATGTCTGGTCTTTGAGTGCCCCCCGTCCCCGGTTAGGGGTTCCAGGTCGCCGAGCGAGTCCGGGGCGAGGGGCTGAGCCCCTCGGTGGGTTTTCCGCATGAAGTTGCCTGCGCGTCGCAAGAGCGAAATGTCAGAGGTACCTTCCTTCCCCAGGCTGGCGCGCGCACGCAGGGCGGCCACCGAGGCAGCGCGAGGGAAAGTGGGGTTTCCCTGTCTGTCTCCCCCTCCAAACACACCGCCACCGCCCCCGGGGCGGCCACCGCTTGCCCCGTTGGGGATGGCAGGGATTTTCCTGCAGAGCGCGGGTCCTGCACCTTGCCGGTCGGAACTGTCAGCAGCTGACGGCAGGTCCCGCGCAACTTCCAAGGTTCCCGGGGCTGCCAGCCGCAGGGAAGCGCTGGTGTGGCTGAGCTGTTCTGTAGCGAGGGAGGATGGTTTGCAAGAGGAAATGGGTTATTTCCTTCTGGGTTGTCGTCTTTTCATCACCCCGCCACCCCCCAGCAGACAGATCGTAGAAGTTTGTAGGGTGGTATGTAAAATGCACCAAACACGGGGGGCGTCCGTCTTAGAAAAAGCTCTCCGGAGCCAACCGGAGAGGAGCAGTTACAACTTGTCAACCTGGAAGCCAGTTTTGTTTGAAGTTAGACACTCCGTGCCAGCTCCTTCTCGCAGGAGACGGTTTCTACCCTGGGAATGAGATTTCTCAGTGATCTTATTGTTTTGGCAAATCATAGTAATATGGGTGTCTTGTTTGCAAAAGAAAAAAATATATATACCAAGTGCTTATGCTGAAAACCCTGGTGCATCCCCGTGTCCCAAGCACCATTACGTGGCATTTTTAGGGTCAACAATACATCCTGCCGGATGATACAGTAGAGACACCTCTTCTCATAATTAAGGGAAGGGTGTCCAAGATAGAAACTTACTGTATGTAAATAAACAATGCAGCCAAGTGGAAAAGCTCCTTCCAGCTTAATGAGTACCACGAAGCCTGAGTTTTCCTTCTGCGGTTTCCAAAAAAGGACTTTCCTCAATGGAACTCCTGAGGAGGACACTTAAATTAAGGGGTCAGGTTTCAACTTCATGGTCTTGTAAAATGGGTGAATCGGTTGTATCCAGTGATTCAACCCTGTGAGGCAGCTGTCCAGATTAGGTTTGGGATTTTTTTTTTTCTTTTTTAAAATAGAGAATTCAAATGAACTTCACCAAATACCGACTGGTTTTGACAACTGGAGCTAGAAACAACTCGTCAAAGCTGTTCTTCAGGCTATACGCCTTTAAGAATAGAGGTTCACCGTGTATTTGGTGAGGCTCTGCCTATGCCAGCAGCCAATCCTGTTTCTAACCAAAGCCTGCATTTTGAACTTTGCTCTGAACTGACGTGTTGGACTGACATTCTGACGTTGGTCTACAATAATCCAAAAATTTTCATGCCCTCAGTCCAGATGTCTTCTCAACAAATTAAATCATAGTGCCATCCCCGGGTATAGCAGATTTCCAAGCCTTTGGAAGAATACCTACTTATTTAAGGGGACGATTAAGACAACCCAATGCTACTAGGAAATACTCCAGACTGGCCAGTGGGTTTTGTCATTGTTCCTCCTCCAGAAAAACATTAGGGTGAAGGGAAGATGGGTGCCAGGAACCCTCATTCAGAATTGTAGAATTTTACAGTTGGAAACGGTCTGAGAGACTGTCAAGCCCTAATTTACAGATGATGGAATTTAGGGACTAAAATGATGGGATCCCAGTTAATGGTAATGCAGACGTCAAATAGACCAACCCTTGTCTTTAAAGGGCTTCAAAAGATACTTTAGAGCAGGGTCAAAGACTGTCATAGAATTGGAGATTCCTAGGGCAGGAAGAGATCTGAGATCATCAGAGTCTGGTTGAACTCCCTTTTTTACATTTATTTTCATTTTACGTGAAAATCAGAAAAGAAGTGATTTGCCCAAGGCCACAGAATCACTCCTCATTGCCTCACAAGTGAGATCCCTACACAGCCTCCTAACATCCCTTCCCATCAGATAAATTCACATGACCATAAAACTGGAATGAACAGATTATATCCATCTTCTGGAACTTGTAGAGGCTTCTGAGTAAGTAACCGAGTTCAAAATTCAGGCCTCAGTTGCTTTGTTTGCAGAGACAGGCGATCTATAAAGCCAGTTGGCTTTCTGCTGAATGCAAGAAAGAAAGAAGAGTCCAGGAAGGGGTTTATTCTGCAAACAAGCACTTCCTCGCCACATGCCTCAGTTTTATAAGGAGAGAGCTGTGCCTTGTACCCCAAGTACCCCAAGACTCCTACTTTATCGAGCACATACTTTGTGCCAAACACTG